TCATCTGAGATGAAATAGCTTAAAACGACAGCTGGTATCACCTGCTGATTAGGAGTGCTGGCCTTGCATTCAAATACTAGCTATATGGTCACAGACACTCAGGTTACATTACTTCTCTGGAGCCTGTTTCCTTTTGTCTAAGGGAAGAATGAATACTTTCATGCAGTATGATTGTTGAGGAATAATTAGGATGTATTTAAAGACTTTTTTTTTTAATTTTGAAATTGTTGACCTGTTACTAGCATTTTTAATTGGCTAGCTCTGTCTTAAATATTTTTAATTAATTTATTTATTTTATATAACCAAGTCCATTTAAATGAAAACAAACATTTATAGACAATAGTTGGGAATTTGGGCGTCGTTCTTTCCAAACTACTTCCTGCTGGTAAGGGGCGCTGACTTAACCTAGTCCTTAGTGCATCCTGAGCACTCAGTAAAGTCAGCTATTTCTACTACTAGCAAAAGTGTAAAACATTCAGGGGAGTTCATAATGTATGGAATAAAATTCCCATTTGAAAACAGGCAGGTTTGGGCATCATGTGAGGATGGCCACTTCTTTTTAAGTAAAGGAGTAAAGGGAGAAAAAAACCTAAACACTTCTTTAATGCAGACAGACGTAGAAATTGAGATACACTTGAATTACAGAGGGATGAGTTTCTCAAATATATTGTTGTTCTTATTCCATGTAACCTGAGTAGAATCACTATTTCCTAACACCAGAACAGAGCAGAGGAGCATATTATCTTGGGTGACTTAGGTAATCTTGCCTAGGGCTAAGGAAGGTGAACTAAGTGACCTCCTGGATTCTTTTGACATCTGGGATCTATCCAACACAGGTACCAATTAGTAAAAGTAACTATCAGTGTAGATCTTAGTGATTTCACCAAGCAGCTTCAGAAAGAATACATTCTTCAAATACCAGGCTCAAGTGTCTCCTGAAGAGAAATTCAAAGAAGCAATGGTAACTACTAACTTCACTTGGAAACTGCATTTTTTTTCTATATGGCTGGACAATTAAGGATACATTTTACAGGTGGGTGTAGCATATACATATAATATTCCAACAACCTGGGAAGAGGAGTCAGGATTAGGAATCAAGATTATCCTCTTCAAGCCCACCTAGGACACAGGAGCCCCTGACTCAAAAACAACAACATGCCCAGCACAGGGTACAGGTGTGGTATCTTTGTATGTCTTCAATAAGAACTGGAAGTGTGGTGGCTCACACTTTTAATCCCAGCACTTGGGAGGCAGAGGCAGGCGGATCTTTGTGAGTTTGAGGCCAGCCTGGTCTACAGAGTGAGTTTCAGGACAATCTCCAAAACTACACAGAGAAACCCTGTCTCGAAAAACAAAATCAGTCTGGGTGGTGGTGGCGCACAACACCCGTGAGGCAGAGGCAGGCAGATCTTTGTGAGTTCGAGGCCAGCCTGGGCTACAGAGTGAGTGCCAAGATAGGCACCAAAGCTACACAGAGAAACTGTCTCAAAAAATAAAACAAAACAAAAGCAAAAACAACAAAAAAGACAAAAAGGAAAGAAAAAAGAAACTGGAAGTCATCATGGAAAAATAAATAACTAAACAACAAAAATGTTTTTTTTTTCTTTTCTCTTCATCCATCTTGGGCCTATATATTTAAGATAATGGAAAAGAGATACGCATGTTCATACAAAATAGCTTTCCTCTCTGATCCTCGAAGCTGATACGGAAATCATGAAAAACTGCCTATGGTTGCAAGGGTCACATGCCTGCAGGAATCACATACCTCCACTTCTTGCTCTCCCCAGCATTCCCACCTCTGCAAGACTCCCAACCAGCCACCTGAGTCTGCCCCACTTCCATGGCACAAATGAACACCTTCGGAAGCCACACCAGGTACTGACTGAAGCCTGCTGAGAATGCACTCAGGAATCTGGGCTCCTGCATTTGATTGTTTTCAGTGGGTATGCCTGACCTCTTCCATCTCACAATGCGGATGAACTGCAGCCAGGGCAAAAAGGACCACAGGATCAAATGCCTTCAAAGCTGACCAGAAATGCATTTGTCACTTGGTTTATATGTAGTTTAGATATATAGAACTCCTTATTTTGTATTCTTTCCCATTTTATCTGTGGTCCTTTAATTACTTAGACAAATCTACTTCAGGAAAAGTAAAGAAAATTAAAGTCAAAAATTTTGGTTACTTGGTACTACCTCATTAAAAAGAAAACAATGTAAATAAGGAAGAAAACTGAAAGCTGAAGTTATTTGGGGGCCTGGAGAGAAAGTCCAGCAGTTAAGAGCATATACTGCTTTTGCATTAGACCCAAGTTCTACTCCTGGCTTGCATACCAGGGAACTCATAATTGCCTACAATTCCTGCTCCAAGGAATCCAATGTCTTCTTCTGGTTTCCATGGGTAACTGCATTCATATGCACATACCCTTACATGGACATAAACATACACATACTAAAAAATAAAAAGTATTAGGGGAAATCTTCAGGGGTCATCAAGATGGCTCAGTAGTTAAGGGTACGTATTGCTCTTTCAGAGGATCCAGGCTCTCGGTACCTACATGGCAACTCCAATATTGGGGGAATCTGACACCCTCTTCTGGACTACACGGGCCCCAGGCATGCACACAGTGCACATGCATACGTACATGCATACATACAAACAAACACTCATGCACATAAAATAAAAACATTTTTAATTTGTAAAAAGTTATTGCAAAGTCAAACATAAATGCTGCTCTCCAATTCACTATATAAGTAATTTAAATTCTAACACCTTGGGTGAAGAAAGAAGAAAACATTCTAGGCTCTGACATACTCCTATTTTGTAACTATTCCACAATTCAAGATTGCCATGGTGTCTTCTGAAACAAGTCATAGCTCTTAGTGAGTTAGTGCTTGGCAGTAGTGTGCAAGCTTGAGAAGTATTCTATCAGTGTGCCATCCCACCAGCCTATGGGGAATCTTTCTACTATTTATAACAATGTTTGTCATTGATGCTTAGTATGTGGTGATAAGACAGTATCTACTAATAGGTGGCAAAAAGACAAGTAAGTTCATGACTTGTCTAAGGTAACATTCATGTGTCTCGGTAATTATCCAGAAAAAGGGCTACAGGGCTAGAGGAGTAGCTTAGTAGTAAAGCATATGCTTAGCATCTTTGAGGCCATGGGTTCAACCTTAAGCACTGGAAAGTATTTGATCTCATGACTTGTCTTGCCTTTGTAAGTTTTCAATGACATTAGCAGTATCTATAAAGAAAGCTACAGAGGTACCATTTATCAAGTTTTAACTATGTGCTAAGTACCATACTTAGTCCTGCATATTCTCTTTTAATCTTAGTAACTACTCTGTGGGGCTCATTATTCCTTGAACGAAGAATATAGTATTTTTTTTTTTTTTAAGGTGGTAATGGCACATCTCTGTGAGTTCGAGGCCAGCCTGATCTACAGAGCAAGTTCCAGGACAGGCTTCATAACTATAGAGAAATCCTGTCTCAGAAAACAAAATGAAAGAGAAAGAAAAAGGGGGGGGGGAGAAAGAAAAAAATACACAGCTAGGGAAGTAAATAACATATTCAAGGTCACCCAGTTAGTGACAGAGCTGGGATCCAAGCCCAAGTCTATTACTATTTCTGGGCTTTTAACCCTCAATATTATTCCACTCACTAGATCAAGTTTTTATTAATAGCACATTATACCTGGGGGGGGCGGTTAACAGCCCACTTTATAACATTCAAAACAAAATAGTTCCTAATAGTAAAACATATATCAAGTGCTGGTATTTTCTTTACAAACAGGATCAAATGCACTGAATCTCGAGACAGATGTGTACTTCGGCTTCATGCAACATGCAAAAAGAAGGCACTGAATTTCTTATTACTATTCCAGTATCAGGGCAAATACCATACCTGGTCTGACTACAGGAGACGTATTAAGTGTTGCAAGATCTAACACATCAAGAGGAGGGAGGATTTTTACTTATAATGACAAGTAATAAATGAAGCAATAAGGTTTACAACACTACTTTCAAGTAAATAGCATTCTCTTGTTGCATCTGAATTTGTTTTAAAGACCAGGAAATAAAAACACAAGTGTTCTGTTTCTTACAAAATCATCACACTGCAGTTATGAAGTAATGTAAAACCAAAGGAAAACTATATTTAAAAAAAATCTTCTCTATTATTACATACAGTTTAAGGCTGGAATAAGATATGTTCACAATTAAGATCTTACTACAAAAAAATGGATGTAATTTCAATAAAGAGCTCAAGCAAGAGAAACATCTAAATGAAATCTTTCAATCAATTAAATGTTTCATGGTAAGTCATGTGCTGTAAATACCAATGGAGATGATACTTTTTTTTTCCCAAGGAGCAAATATAACATCTTGCCAATCTGGTTACTGGTAGTGAAGATAACTACAGGAACATAATAATAATAATCCTAGTACAGCTTCAGAAAAACTCCTGGGTTCACAAGGAAAACTATTACTTTGTATGTTAAATTTTAAAAACTAATTAAAAAACTGGAAAATTCACCAAAAGTTATCCAAAGTCATAAATCCTGTGTCATTCAGCCAAACCACAGAACAATATTTTGTTAGCAATAGTTATTATTTTCCTGCTGAGGAGGCACTACCTTCTTAGTTTATGATGAGCCACATTAATTTTATGATGAAAAGGGAAGACACCAGAATTATGAAAAATACATTTGAATGAAGATTCTAAACATGATACATGCAAATTAAGCAAACAGTTTTGTAAGTGATCACAGCTTTTAAGAAGAATTTCCTTTTGAGAAGAAATATTTCAACAGTACAGATATTGATTCACTCCTTTTTGTTGAATTGTAAACAAATCCAGCTTTGGATTTTACTGGTTAGAAAATAAAAAGAACCCATGATTTTAAATTATATAAAGTAATTTACAAAGTAATATACTTTAAAATAAGTAATTTCCTTCTTTGTGAGTTTAAAATATTTTTTATGCTCAAGAGCCAACTTACCAGCTTTGTGCCCCTTTTAATTTCCTTTTGGACATCTTCAATAGAAAATCCACCAAGACTCTCATTATCGGAATGTGATGAAACCAAGGCAGACGAAAAAAGCTATAAATGATATTTGAAAACATGAGGGTTTGTACATAATTGCATCGAGACAATGAATAAAATATTAAACATAAAAATGAACTTTCTCTTAAAATGACATTGCATACTGTTAAACCATTTCTTAAAATTTTAACAGCATTTTTTTTAATTTCATATTTAGTAACTCTAATGTGTTATGAAGACCCTCTCTTAGGGATGGTTTTGAGGTCTCTTGATTGATGCCAACATACTCACCATGCATTTATGGTGTGCTGCCACCTTCTGGTTTTCAGATATTAGTAACTGTCCACACTCCTTGTCTCTATTCGACTTACAAAAGCCGCATTTGCGCTGTCTTGTAGACCCTTTTTTCTGTTCAATTGAGCTTGACATGTTTTTTTAAACTGCTTATAGAATGCCACTTTAAATTGCAAGAAATGCTACAGAGAATAAGAATGGCAACAAAATGGTTAATTGCATTTAAAAAGTATACATTTCCATGCAAGTAGTTTAATGTCTGACCTAGTTATATAGTTATTTAAATATTAGTATGGATAAATAATAAAACCCAAGGTGTCTTCCACATATAATACATATTAAAAGAAGGGAGAAGAGAATGAAATCAAGTCTAGAGTGAGAGAAATAAAAATGAATTCAAATTAGAAAATACATATAAATAAAACTACTTTTGTGTGGATAAGAATGTATAGCATAGCTACTATATATAGTGGTATATGGCTATAATCTTAAGCATTTAGGAGTTTTAGGCAAAAGATCAGGAGTATGAGGCCATCCTGGGCCACAAGGAGAATCTGAGGCCCCTCTGGGTTACAAAGTGACAACCTATCTCAAAAAAGCAATTAGAAAACCAAAATCACGAGATTAAATCATCTACTAGTAATTAATTAATAATAAAAAATATTTTCAAGTATAGGTAAATGAGCATCAAGGAAACAGAATGATAAAGATCTATGAATAATCTAAAACTACAAAATAGAACTGAATTTTTGAATTGCTTAATTTCTTCCAGTTCACATACTAATAAAATTATTAAAAGTACAATTAAGTATAATTTTGAAACAACTGCTTTTAAAACCTGAAAGAGTTCAAATTTAAGAAAATCATGGTTATGACCTCAGATTCTTGCTATTCTGTTCCTTTTCCATGTAATGAAATAATAAAGTTTCTAATATTGTATCATAAAATGCAGTCAGTAGGACACTAATACTTACTAAACCATTCTATTTGACATTTATCCTAAGTCTGCTTACTAATAGCCAAACTGACAGTGGTTTTCTACATGCAGAAACTTCTATACATAAGTTAGGAATACTGTACAGTGGAAGGAAAATTGTTCTGAATGAGCCTTGCATTTGATCAGATTGTAATTATAGGCTGTACAGTCAAACCAAAAAAGGGAAGAAAAGCTGTAACCCAGAAGTCTACAGATTTGCATCATCCTTCTCAACACAGATCATTCAATGCCATCACTCAACAAATTTCAAATCAGTGTTTTGATTTGTATAATTCACCCAGTTAATGGGAGTAAGCAACTCAGGCCCAGGTTGCCATAACATACATCACAATCAATAGAATCTCAAACTTCTGTCTTCAAATAAGCTTATTAAATTGCCACTTCTATAAATTTGAACATTTTCATGACATCGTGTTTAGAGACTTGGCTCACTAACAAGGCAGTCGTTAGCTCTCTGAGAAGCATCTGTTCACCAGCAGCAGCAGTAGCAGCAAGGTGATGGGCTATCTACAACCACTCAGGGCTATTCAATGTGGATTATCTCCATGTAATGTAATGGGAAGCCACAAAGAAAACATTTCTTCTCATTAATTTACATCTACTATTCTCTTTTGAACAGGACTTCAAAGGTCTTGCCGTCTCTGCTTTGACGGTTTAACAAACTCTTAATGCTATCTATAAGTTTAAATACCTCAGTTTCCAGAGTGCCACAGGGTACTTCTCAACAGTACTGATTTTAGAACATGGCTAGAAACTGTTGAAACTGGTTGAAAATAGGTAGCAAATCTTTTAGCATAAAAAAGGACAACAGAAACAAAAGAAAAGAGGAAGTGTGTTTGCATTTGCTCAGGCAACTATGTGTCCAGTTGCTTTATGAAAAATATAGCTGTTCCAGTTTTTAGAGCTATGCAAAAACACCAAGATTCATAAATAGCAACCAGATATGCTACCAGAGTTCTAAAAGAATAATAGACACGGTGAAGTCACCATGATGTATTCAGCATGTCTCCAGGTCATCCAGGCCAGCTGAAAGGGTGGTACATTATAAATCTAATCTTCATAGACATCTTTAATGTGTTGTCTCTATAGAACCCTAGCATTGGCTTAAGATAAGCCAAACTCCTGGAGGGAAAAAAACACATTTATACCTCAAAATGATTCTGAAATGGTACCCCTCTCAAATTCTATCTTTAATAAATATTGCCCCTTTTCACTAATAAACAGTAGTGCATTGTCCACCTTAATTTTCAGAACCTGTTTTTCTAGACATTAAAGATGCAAAAAACTAAAAACAGAACAAAAATATACTTAATTTTGTATTTTAAAATGTTCATGTATTTCTTGGTAGTTCATATTTTATTTGTAAAGTGGGCAGAAACAGACGTGCAACAAACTATTAAATTTTTGCCCTGCTATGCAATGAATAATTGGATTTTTCCACTAAAATTCAGATAATGCATATGTGTGTAGCTTGCTGATTTTTTTTCATCTGCCTTATAAAACATGCAGCAGCAGAGACCATCACGGAAACAATGACGCCTAGCAGAACAGTCTATCATAAAAATACAGATTTTTATCTACTGCTGTCACATTTGTGGTCTTGGGTTAGGAAGAATAAGGACATTCGAGCATCATTACTATAGGGTCCATTATCATCCACAGTTATTTACCACTTTCATTTTAATCTAACGATTTTCAAGAGCAGGCAAAGCTCAAAGTTTAATACTTTACCCCGACAATGAGACCTTGCCCTTTAAAGAAAGATGTCTAAAGCAGAAAGAGACGACAACATCTTTAAGGGAAATATTGTTTAAACGTTTGAAAAACATACACAGCTGAAACAATGAGTGCATTTCCGATTTTTCAAGATGCTGTGAAGCACCGAGATAGAAAATCACCTGGACAACCAAGGAGGGCATTCGAGAACCAACCGGAGAGCTCATTCAATGGCTGGTATCTGAAAAGAACATTTTCCACAGAAAAACAAACAAAACAAAACAAAAACTGCAGTTCCGGAAGACGAAAACCCTTCCGCATGCAAGCCAGTTGAAATATACAGATAGAAGCGTGATCCTCCAAAGATAACACAGCCTTTCTTGCAGGAAAGTTACAGTGGAGAGAAAAAATGAATAAGAGATGTACCGGAAGGGCACCTGAATTTGGTTGCATGACATTATTACATGGTTCGCACTGCTTTTTGTGGTTATTCAAAAGGAAACTAAAGGAATTTTCCAGTTGTTTCAAGCCAAAGGGTAGTGAAAAAATTTGAACTGTATGAATAAGACTTGATATTACGCAGGAACCAGAGGAAAATTAAAGACTTTTCAAAGATCAAAAGATTTGCTTTTCACTTTCACGCAGAATATCGAAACGAATAGAAATTTCAGGAGAACGCCGAAGTGTTCGCTCGTGTAATAAAGGACCAGACACGAAACTGAACGGACTCTCTCCGTTATTTATTCCCCAATCGCACGCTAGACTCCTAGATCTCCCTCTAAGTAAAGCGCTGGATAAACTCGAAAAACTATTCGCCTTTCCAACACTTCGGCAGGTTCCTTTCAGCCAGAAAGTCGGTGGTCCTCCCACCGATTGTCCTTGGCCAAGTCTGTGGAATTCAAGCAAACATCACCATACCACTTTCTTTCCACCCTCCCTGCCCCAGGAGTTTGTCGTCCAAGAATCTTACTCCAAAGCATCTCCTTACCCATCACTTTCACCCGATTCCCCTTGCCCGGGAGTTTTTCTTTTTCTCCCCCTCATTCCGTAAGGCTCGCCCTCATGCCGTCCTAACCATTTTTTTTTTCCTCTCTTAGACTTCGAAACTAGGAGTCACCCTCCTTCCCCCTAAAATGATCTAAGCATGTGCACCGAGTTTTTTTTTTTCTTTGAAACCCCCACCCCAGTTTTTCCCTCCTCTGATGTGAAGCCCCCTCCCCGAAGTCCGGGCTGCCGCCCGGCGTGTTCCTCAGCGCCCCCCGGAGCACCAGGTCGCCAGGCTCTGCAGCGGACACCGACAACGCGCGGCGCCTCTGGGGGTCTCTGACAATGAAGGAGACCACCGCGAGTCCCCCCGTAACAACGGGCAGGGGCGGCGGCCTGGCCACCGCCATCCTCTTCGTCTTCTCCCGCCACACAGAGAATGGGGGGCCCTTAGTTCCCGCGGGGAACTCACCAGCGTGGCCCACGGGCGGGCGACGGGAGGCCAGCGCCCACGAGGGGAGAAGAGGAAGGCGGGAGACGGTTCTCCGGCACTGCCGAAGAGCGGGGCTCTGTCGCCGAGGGTTGTTTCCTTTCATTCGAGGAGAGACGGGCTCGCCGAGCGCCCTTACGTTACCTCCCTCCGTACGCACACGACCCACAGGACGTTAAGACGTCTCGAGCGCGCCGGGGGCTCTGATTGGTCACCGAGCCGGGGCGGTTGAAGCCGCCGGAGTACAGCGCAAGCGCGCGGACCAGCCCCTCGAAAAGCTCGGGGCGGCGGCCCCGCCTCCTGCTCGCGCGCGTACCTTCTATTCTCCGTTCTGCCGCTCGGCTGAGGCTTTGGGGGCAGGATCAGAGGAGACCGAGAAAGAGATTTGAAGAGAAACCTGGGCACTGGGAGGAGGAGAGGCTGGGTTGGGGCCAGCAAGCCTGAGACCAGGTCTTGGGGAACCGGTTTTCCAGTGACTCAATTGCACAGGCCTTAGCCTTTGCACTTGTTCATCGAGGCCTTTTTATATCCATTATTTCATTGTACTCTCCTGGCATCCCTTTGGGGTCCTTCTTTCGCCTAATTTCACTGCTAGCAAAGACAGAGCTTTCAGTGCAATATGCCCATTTGCATGGCAATCCTCGGGCCAATCGTTTTAACAACTTAGCCTTAATTTTTTGTTGTTGTTTTTTGGTCTTGGGAATAGGGATGAAATATCTCCCAAGTTTATTGTAAGGAAGGATAAGGATGAGCTGAAGAATGTATTACCGTTCCCGGTGAATAGCTGCTTCTCTGTAAGTGCTGGGGTTGTCATAATCAAAAGAGAAGAAGAGTTTTTTTCTTTATAACTCATACAGATGAACCAAATATCTAAACCAGCGCTGTTTTTTGTTGTTGTTGTTGTTGTCGTCGTCGTCGTCATTATTGTTTTGTTTTTTGCATAATGGAACCGTACTCTTGTTTAAATCTCAGCTCCATCACTTTAACTCCTTGACCTTGATCACGTTGTATTACCTCTGGTCCCTCAGACTTGTCGATTCTAAAATGGAGAATGTAATGGTAGACCTTTCAAAAGATTGTGAGAAACGAGTTAACATATACAGATCACAGGAGAATAATGCCTGGGGACATAGTATACCATATATGAGGGTCGACTTTTGTTATTTTCTGCTGGCCTCCGCGAGGGAAAACCATTTTTAAAAAAGAAAGAAAAGAAAAAAATATCACTCACAAGCCAGTGAGCCATTAAAGATGTCTTTCATGTAGCTATATTTCCTGCAATAGGAGTGGACTCACGTTCTGGATCCAATGCTTTTTACATAGTGTTTCATCAATCTTTAATTTTTTTTTCCTTTCAAGGTCAACCTTAAATTTCAACGCTCAAAAGAAAGAAAGAAACAAAGAAAAGAAAAAGAAAGAAAGAAACCTAACAGTAGTAGTGTAAAATTGATTCATTCAAATGGAACCCAACGAGGGCCTACAAATCAATCATTTAGCTGCAAGGAACCTTTCTCTTGCTGTGGCTCTGAGCTGCTGTCCTGATTTCAGCAACTAGAACTGTGCTTTTTATCACAGCTCTCCTGTGCTCTGGAACTCTGATTCACTGGCTCTACTCTGGGGCATCAGTTGCTTTGCTCTAGCTTGCTGCCACTCTTAAAAAAAAAAAAAAAAAGACCCATTCACTTTCACTGCCCTTGCCTCTGGTTACTCTCCAGGGAGTGACTAGAGATTTGCATAAGAAGATCCACAATGCGTATTCCATTTAAGCCCTATGTAAATCATAGGTACTCCACCATCATTTCCCAAGTTTTACAGGCTGATTGATGCCACAATGACACAGATGAATATGAAAGAGAAAATGCCCTGCCTAAACTGTGTGTAGTCTTTATTTGACCCCCGGCCTATATTTTACTGTCTTTAATTCATTCTTTTTTTCATGCACTTACTTGAACACAATTTAATTCAGTAAAAGCGTATGAAACTAAGTTCCAAATTGAGAGGAAACAAAGATGAATCCAACACAAGCCCATTGAGTTGAAGGTGAAAATACTGAGACCATCAAGTACCAATATAGTACGATGTGATAAAGGTGCTTGCCTGAGGCAGACGTGCACTGCCTGATGTGTACAGCGCACTGTGGTAAACTGCAACATGATGAGTAAGACACAGCTTTTCCGTCCAACTGATTAGAGTCTAGTAAGGAAAGGACAAATGGCTACAACAGGAGATGTTAGCAGTGAGTACCTTAGACAGTGAGAAGGAAATGCAGAGTTCCAAAGACAGTTATCAGTGGTTTTAGTTATTTTCGGATGCAGCCTGTTAGTTCATGCTTAGTATGTGGGGATATAGCATAGGCCCCACTAATCTCATATTAATTCACCAATACTCCTCTCCCTCAGGCTCTGGTTACTGCTTCCTTTTTGTACTTCATACTCAGCAAAGAGCCCAATTTCATGATTTACGTTAAAAAGGAGTGTCAAGCTAAGATCTTGTACACCCATCCTCTTCTGCTTCTGTGACAAACAGAGCTGTCTGTCCTGGATTTCCCCTCTCCCGTGCTTTGGAACTCCAGTCTACTCGCTCTCATCTGGAGCAACAGTTGCTTTGCTTTAGCTTGCCTTCACTCTTAAGAGATCCTTCTAGCTAGCGGTGGTGGTGGTGCACACCTTTAATCCCAACACTCTGGAGGCAGAGGCAGGAGGGTCGCTGTTAGTTCAAAGCCACCCTGGTCTATAGATCGAGTTCCAGGACAGGCTCCAAAGCTACACAGAGAAACCCTGTCTCAACCCACCCCCCCAAAAGAAATAGAGATCCTTCTACTTTCACTGCCTTTTGCCTCTAGGCATTTATTCAATAGACATTACAGATTGCTTCTGAATGGCAAGTCGGGTGGCAGATGCTAGAGGTTTAAAAGGAAACACGACATAGTTCCTGATTAAAACAGCGAGATGAGGCTGGTTGTGATGGGTCTCACCTGCAACCCCTGCTCTCAGGAGATCGAGGGAGGGGGACCTTGAGATTTCCAAGCTAGCCTTGGCTACACAGCAAGAACCTGACTCAAAAATAAATAATGTGCAGCAGGAAAGAGGGCTCCGAGGTCAAGAGCACTGGCTGCTCTGTCAGAGGACCTGGGTTCAATTCCTAGCACCCACATGGTAGCTCACAAACAACTGTAGCTGCAGTTCTGGGGGTCCCAAGCCTTCTTCTCAGCTCCAAGTATACTAGGCATGCTCATGATGCACAGACAAATATGCAGGCTAGACACTCATACACATAAAATAAAAATGAATACATTTTTAAAAATAAATGAAACAAAAACCTCACAAACCCATCAGATTTTACAATTCAATTTTATATAAAATATTTTTAGGTATATCTAATAAAACTGAGAGAATAAAAGCACTGAAAACAGAGAAAGGACACAGGTGCCACCCTGAAGGAATTCTCTATCTAAGAGATGGAGTTAGTCCACTTACTGGGTTTCAGTGTGATAGGCGAACTTCTCTAACATAATCACACACCCCAAGGCTCTTTGGCCTCTATCTGGAAAAGCTAGGAAGTTTGTATCTGAGAGGCATTGCTTTGATCTAGATCTTCACAGACAGGCCAAGCACCCCAAAAAAGTCTACATTCTACTGTAATGCATTTACTAAAAATATGATCAAAGTCGATGATTCATCTTTTTCCTTGTTTCTTGACTAATAGTTTTTCTTTCCATATTGTTTACATTGTATACTTTGGGCCATCTTCTTAACTTGAAATTTCCATCAATTTGTTTTTCTTTCTTTCTTTCTCTCTCTTTGGAAGATTCATTTATTTTTATTGTATGTGTATAGGTGTTTTGCCTACTTGTATGTCTTGTGCACTTCATGTGCGTTTGATGCCTACTGAACTGGCTGAAATCGGACTTATAGGTGTTTGTGAGCTACCATTTGGGTGCTGAGATCTGAACACTTGTCTCTGCAAGAGCAGCACGTGCTCATAACCACTGAGTCATCTCCCTAGCCCTGAATCATCTTCTATCTTCCTTGGCTCAAAACCTTCTTCTAAGGTTTCCATCTTCTTCCCACTTTATGACATAAGGCAGAAGTTTCCCAAGACACAGTCACATCCTGTGCTGGTCTGTTGTGTTCTTCCATGCCCAGCAGTTACAAAGACATGGAAATGAGGCCATGGGAGCCTGCTAAAAATCCAGTGGGTTTTATTGTTTGTTTGCATGTTTGTTGTATGCCCCCTCCTCCAGGTGCTGAAAGTCTGGGTCTAGATACATGCGTCCTTGTCCTTGAATTTCTCAGGTCTTCTGCCTTATGTAAGCAGAGGCTCACAAGAAAGAAACTCACACTTAAGAAACCTTTCCTTCTTTGTCCTTGTTTGTTTGTTTGTTTGTTTGTTTCAGGACAATTGGTATAATGTTTTGAGTGTGATGTAAATTTGCTCATGTACCTATGAGCTTCTGGCTGTAATCAACACCAGTGGATCTCTCATTTGTTCACCAAAGACTCACCGATTGCCTTCTACCTGTTAGATTAAAAAGGGATGGAAAGGTGTACTCTGGTGCACTGGAGGAAACAACATTGAGGGAGCACATAAACAAATGTGAACTGTCATCCATGGCAGTGGTGCTGCCTCTCTTATTTAAAGTTAATTTTAAAAGAACTTGAAATAAACTGAAAATGGAGGTAAAACTAACATCTGTTTGCATTTTTCGGGGTGCCGTGGATTGAAGCTATGCCCTTGTTTGTTCTCCTACCAAGCTTACTCCCTGGTCCTAGTTGCAGTTTTACACCACACATTTTTATATTTCTCATTTTTTAATTTTAAAGTGCCTGGGTTAAATTCTGCTGATGTGCCTGTGAGCAAACATGCAATTTCTCTGTGTGAGATGTGGTATAAGAGAAAAAGAGCCCGTGGAGCTAATTTCCAAAGAAAGCTTGGGCAAGTTTTGACCATTCTGAGCTTACTTTCTACATCAGTCAAAAAAGAAATGTCATTTGCAAGGTTTCTGGGGGGGGGGGATAAAGACTAATAATGATTCTGATGGCATTCCTTCTCCAACAAATATTACTGACAGTTTCTAGTGCTCCACTGGCATCTAGTTCATCTCCCTACTAGCATTAACGCCCAAGCATTCTGTGATTCCCTTGGCTTCTCTTGTTCATTTTTAATCTTC